CTATAGTCTTCTTGACTATTGACAGTACATGTTGGCATATTTAAGACTCCCAGACATTCCACAAGATAGAAATGTGTAGCTTTGCTTATCTCATTGTTTCTCAAACATAATGAATCACAATTTCATCTTTTTCAAACATAAAGAAAAATGAATTGAAACACACTTTGGGAAATGTTCCTCTAGGTAGGTCAGTGTCCAAATCTCTTTTTCTTTCTCAGTCTTGTTTCCCATGTGAGATGATCTAGTCCACAAACCACTTCTCAGCCTCTTCCCCAAGATAAAATATAACCCTAAAATACAATGCAGAACCTGACAAGAGCTGGATTCATTCCTGGGATATTGCCAGTGGATGTCATACATCAACTGCCATCTGAAGAGAATCCATGTTCAGCCAAGAGAACATGCAGCTCCCAGTCCAGTTGGTCCTTACAGTTCCTGCAACACCAGGACAAGTTTTCACTAACTAAACTTTCCTTGTTTTGTGTGTATGTGTGTATATTTGAAGTAGACATCTTTCCATTAGGAACTGGGCACTGGCTGAGGTGCCAATTAATTTTGCATAAGCTGCCACTGCACCCTTGGATGCTAATCCGCTCATTCATAACCACAAGGCATTGTGCTAGGGTCATGTATATGACTTGTGCCTCCAGCCCTGTGGATTTATTTAGTCCTTAGCCTCTAGTTCCTGCAGCTGTGTCCTTTCAATGACTGCTTTATGGTGGCCAAGAGAGTTGAGGACTCTGCCAGGACTCTGAGATCTGGAGGAACACATGGATGCATTATTCTACTCCGAAGCTTTCCAATTCCTGTTCCGGTCAGATGGGGGAGATGGTGGGAGGATATCTCTGAAGCAGCCAGCACTTACTGTTGATGGTATTATTCGTGTCTGACATTATTGCAAAAGAACAGACTTAAATTTTTATACCCCCGTGTGTTCTTCAGGGTAAGGTTAATTACCAGTGAAAGTGTCATAATGCAAAACATAAATTCTGAATTTAGCTCCTGGGTTGTTTTGTAAGAACTGCTATGGAGTCATTATTTTTTGCTTACTCTAAGACTACACATTGGATCCAGTCTGCTTCAGACAAGAGTCCAGGAAAGAGGGCTTACTATGCTAATTGAATACTAATTAGGCTTTTGCTTAAGTTGTTTTGTGTTACCGTCATTTGCAACTATATTTTTTTCTGTATTTATGTCAAGGGGAAAAGAATACCTCAAAGGTAGCAAGATTCTTACTTATCCTGAATATCTGGAATAAAGTATTTTGCCACTTTTTTTTTTGTTTGTTTGTACTTGTAACATTTGTAAATGGTTTTGTTCTACACTAAGAAAAAGCAAAATATCATCATCATTATTACTGGCTTTTGTTCACAATGGACTTCATCCAGACTCTAACCAGTGACTCTATGACTAACAATCTGAGTCACTAAGTTTCACATGTTTATGAATTTCAACACAATTCCCAGGCTGAGAGTTTTTTGTTTATTTTCATGTTTCAGGACTCAGAAAAAAAGTAAATGCCCTTCTGGATTTCAAATCTGGTGTCACTGAATGACTGCTTGAACAACTCAGCACATAGACTGCATCACTCCTTCAGTAAAGATTAATATTGGCAAAAGTTCAAGGACTACCAACTGTCAAAAGGTTAGTATATTCTTTTGTTAGGGGAAACACATTGAATGAAACCACCTACCCTGGTCAGGCACAATTACCATATCTGAGTTATTTTATGACAGGAGGTCCTGGTGAGGAACATATAACTAACAAGCCACCACAAACTGGAAGAATTGGGGAAATGTCAAAAGGAGACTCCATGTGTCCTACCACCTCCCAGAATCCTTCTCGCTGGCAGCCACCTTGACTGAGTCATGTGTGTGCCACCAAGGAAGGAGCCTGAGTCAGAATGATTAACCAGAGAAAACCAGGAAACGAATCCCATCATCATAAAGCCTGAGACTGTGTGCCACGGTGCGGAGCAGTTCTCCTGGGTTCCCTCACCCTCCTGCTCTCCACCCAGGTGCCCCTTCCCAGTGAGGTCTCTTGACTTGTCAGCACGTGTGTATCTTTGGATAATTCATTTCTAAGTGATAGACAAGAGCCCACTTTTAGGCCCTGGAATCAGTTCCCCTTCCTGCAACACTTTCAGGACAAAAGCCTTTAGCCTGGTAGAGAATTCAGGTAACCATAAATATTTGCATTTTCACCACGGTAGTGATACTAGACAATTTCAGGATTGAAAATGGAGGAACCTCCAACTAAAAAGTGGATCAAGAGAAGGACTGAAAAAATGCCAGTATATTTCTGGTTATTAACTTTGCAAAGATGTAGTCTTTATCCTTACAGCTTCTTCAAAGGAGTATCAGAAAATGGACAATCTGAGCTAAAATACCATTTTTTTGTGTGAAAAATTCCATTATTTTAATAATTTTCTTTTTTTTTTTTACTGTATCCACTCTCATACCAGTTCCACCTTATCCCTAGATTATAACTGTCCCTGATTGGTCACCCTACACCCATCTTAAAAAGCAATTACTGTGTCATTTTACCATCAGATAACATTATAAACATTTGGTCACACACTGTCACAGTATCTCAAATTAACAACTTACAGTTTTATAGCATTTTTCAAAGGATTCTCTCATATGTCACCTCACGTTAATCTCATCTTCCCATCCAGTAGAGAAAAAAAAAAAAACTTCATATGCAGTATTGTCACTCTTACTGATGAGAAAATTGAGGCATATTGTTGGACGTAATTGGCTTAGCCTTATTATCTAACTTCATATGGGTTATTACTAAAAAAATCAGAATCGTCATCTAAAGCCATTGCAGTAGATGCATAACGGAAATCTGAGATTTAGAAAGAATTTTTGCCTCTTTGTCCTCATATAAGGATTAAGCATAAAGTCGGGACGGATGATGTTATTCTTGGGTATTGGTTCTTGTAAATGCAATTTGTGATGTCAAATGTATACTGTATTACATTAATGTAGTCCAAAGTAGAGAAGCATAATTAGATCACACAAAATGTTATCAAAATATACAAAGATAATAAATAAAATGAATTCAATTTAAAAAACCATTTGTGCATCATTCTGTATTCTTCACAGGCTGTCCTGTGGGTCTCTATAGGATCTTCTTGAGATTCTGTGATCATTCAAGTAAGTGACTTTTTTTCATTGTGAACTTACTGGATTTTACATTTAAATTAATGGCCATTTTAAGGAAAGATTTATCTGCCATTTCCTTTACATCTTTCACAGTGCCTGGGCTGAGCACACAGTAGTAGCTTTTTTATTTCTTTAGAGCAGCTACATCTGTAACTGATACTGAAGTTTCTTGTTCCCAAGGCCCATGTACCCACGGGTAAACCTGACTTTGCTGCAGTAAGACAGTGGGATTCCTAAGGTAAACCACTGCATTCCAACTTCTGAGTGTCTCAGCAGTTCAGATATCTGACTCTGAGCACACAGCTTCTCCACCATAACCTGCCCCGACTCGGGGTGGCTGGCTTCCCAGCAGTCTTCTGGACACTTCTGTCTGATGATCACCTTCAGTTCCTGGAAATTTTAGTGACTTTGGTTGTGAAGATGCTTCCTGGGCTTGGTCTTCGACAATGAAAATAGAAGATGGTGCCTTACCTTTGAGAAAAGAGGTGGGTCAGACTATAAAAATTGCCCCAAACAAGCACGGCTGACACGTTTATCTGTGCAAGAAGCACATAAGCGCTAGTTAACAGGAGCCTCCCTGCCGCCCTTCCCCTGCCCCTCCCCAGCCGCCCCCCGGCCCCCCCAGGACAGCGCCTAATCTCAGCGATGCACGTGCTGGCTGTAGACACACCAGAGGCTGAAGGCACACAGAGCTGAGTTGGGCCTAATGACTAATATTTTCCCCACCCGGAGCGACATATTGATAACTATTTTCCCCTCAAACCAAGCAAAATCAGCAGTCCTTCCCTGCTTTGCGCCAGAACTTGAAGATGAACAAAATAGTCTTTCCGAGAGGCCCGAGTCCAGCTCGGGTCTTCAGACCAGAGCGGGCTGCAAAGGATGAAGCGAGATGGCAGAGACATGGCAGTGAATACATTTAAAGGGAGAGCCGGGCCCTGGAGGAAGGGACAAAGAACCAGGACCCTCTAAGGGGGGATCTGGGGTTGAATTAACAAAAGATTCATAAAAGAAGGCTTGTGAATTTGAGAAGAGCTATGGCTTTAAGCTGCAACCTGAAACAATTAAACTCTGACCATACGTTCTTTAAAAAGTGGTGAAGTGGATGACATGTAAACCCCACCTCACCCCCCCCCCCGCCCCGCCCCGCCCTGAAAGCAGTAAAGGAAGGGCCGTCTTTCCAAGTCCAGATCCTGTAACCGCGGGTTTGGTTCAGGGGTAAACCGCCGCACATCTCTTTCCAACTCCTGGCTGGGCAGTTAAGAGGGTTTTAAAAACACATCATACTTTGGTCCACAGCCGCACTTCGAGAACATCCTATACCGCAGGCTCTTTCGCGGATTTACTTGCGGTCAAGAGAACCCAAAAGTCAGCAGGCAGGATTCCAGGACCTTGTTAGCCTGAAAGGGGGGACGGCAGACTTAGGCAAGCGGGGGACCTGGGCACGTGTTCTGCGGCAGAAAGGGCGAGCCGCGGGCAGCCTGGGTCCCCCGGGTCCCCGAGCTCGCAGACGGGCGGTGGCCGCAGGGCACCCGCGCTCAGGTGGAGCCGGCCTCGCGGCAGCTGCGCCCCAACCCCTCCCCGACCCCTCCCCGCCCCCACCGACGCCCCGGGCCCTTCCCTTCGCCCCGCCCCGCGCCCGAGGACCCACCCGGGATGGGGGCGCGGGCCGAAGCGCTGGAGCCGCTCCAGGCCCGGGGTCCTGGGTGCGCAGCGGCTCTCCCGCCCTGCGGCCGGGGGCGGAGCGGTCCCCCCTCTCACCCCCCACCCACCCGCTCCTGGCCCGTCACCCTCCCCGCTCGCTCCTTTCCTTCCCGCTTTCCCCGGAGAAACATGGCCGGGAACCGTGAGGAGGCGCCAGACTACGGGCGAGGCGTCGTGGTAAATGCAAACTCCGATTTCGGGGCCGAGGCGCGCGCTCCCCGCCCCTCCTTCGTTGGCACCCCCCCTCCCCCACCTCCTTTCTCGATTAAACGCCCGAAATGCATTCGGGAGCGAGCTGGCCACGGCTTTGTTCTTCCCTCCCAGCGGGTCGGTTCCATCCTCCCCCTCCCCCATCTGACCCGCGCTTAACAGCCCTTCCCCCGGGTCCTCGGCGTCCCCACCTCCCCCCGACAGCCATCCGCTACTCCCCAGGGTTGAGCCCCCGTGGTTCCGGGTCCCACTCCCGCTGTCCGCCCGGAGTCATCCCTGGGCGCCGGGGGGGCTGCGAGGACCCCCGCGGGTGGCTCTTACGGGCCTCCGTGCTTACGGGCTCACTCCTGACTCCCCCAGCGCGGGCTTCAAGTGTTATTTTCAAAAAGGATTCCGAGAGTTGGCCAGGGCAGCTAGGACATTACGTTTGAGCTTTGAAACACCGGCCAGGGCTCTTACTGTAGGGCCTCCGCACGAGCTCGGGACTCAAGAGCGCCCCTCGAGAGAGCATCCGTGTCTGCAAAAAGACCCGCTGAGCGAACTCGTGTGTGTGGATTATCGGAAGGTGTGGGAGGATGGGGTCCCAGACCAGATCCTCTTTATCCCTGGGAACCCCACAAAGTCAGCCATCGCACAGTGGGTACCCAAGGATCAGCATCCTGGAATCAAATCTGGTCTTGCGATACGGCTGCTGGCTTCTTTGGAAGGTAGTGGTTTTAACGTGTCAGGTTTAAAGTGAAACTGTGGTGAGGGTGGTGGGTGGGTGGGGCCAACTTCCTACTTTAAGATTCTTTGTTCAGAAATCAGCCTGTAATGTACAGATAATCCTGTCTGTGACGGAGGCCTGCAGGAGTGGGAGAGTTGGATTAGGAAACATCTCATCGTAACTGATCTGTTGGGGTTGAACTCTGTTGCTCAGGGTTGATTTCACAGCCAGGCCTGTTAGTCTTAAAGGAGTTCATTGATTTGTCATTGGGCTCCTGTTTATTCTGCTGCTGAGTTCCAGGCAGTGTTCTAGTCCCTGGGAAAACCAGACAAACCCCTGTGTTCGTGGACCTTACATTCTAGAGAGGAGCACAGGCAAGCAGTGTGAAGCAAAGCACCTACAGGAAGAATATGCCCTCAGACAGTGACACGTGCAGGGAAGAGAAGAGAGAGTCTTGAGACAGTGTTTGGAGGAGGGCTGAGGCTGCTATTTTAGCTCAGATGGTCAGGTTGGGCGCCCTGGGTGACGTCTAAGCCAAGAGGGGAAGGCTAGGGGGAGGTAGCCACCTGAAGATTGAAGAAGGGTACTGTAGCAAGTCCCCTACGTACGAACAAGTTCCATTCAGAGAGTGTATTCACAAGTCCAATTAGTTTGTAAGTCCAACGAAGTCAGCCTAGGTACCTAACTAACATAATTGGTTGTATAGTACTGTAACACGATAATGTTTATAATACTTTTCACAAATAATAATACATTACAAACAAAAAAATAAGACTTTTAATCTTACAGTACAGTACCTTGAAGAGTACACTAGTCCAATACAACACTTGTGTATACAGGGGCTGGCATGCACGTTTGCATCTTTGAAAGTTCACAACTTGAGGGTTCGTATGTAGGGGACTTATTCTCCAAGACGGCACCTGCCAAGGGCAAAGAAATCATTACGTTCTGAGAAGGAATCATAACATCCAGTTTTATGCTTTTTAAAAAAACGATCACTCCACTTGCCATGCCGAGGATGGTCAGGCCTAGATTTGGGGTGAAAATGTTTGAAAAAAGGAAGTCATTCAGTTCAGTTCTGGACAAGTTGAGTCTCTAAATGCCTGTAAAGCCTATGGGTCATGAAGCACGGGAGGCAATTTGAAATTCCTGTTTGGAATTCAGGAGGGGGACTGGATAGATTGGAGATCATCAGCAAACAAATATTTGATGCTTATCAGTGGGCTTCCCTGATAGCTCAGCTGGTAAAGAATCTGCCTGCAATGCAGGAGACCCTGGTTCGATTCCTGGGTCATGAAGATCTGCTGGAGAAGGGTAGGTTACCCACTCACTCCAGTATTCTTGGGCTTCCCTGGTGGCTCAGCTGGTAAAGAATCCATCTGCAATACGGGAGACCTGGGTTCGATCCCTGGGTTGGGAAGAACCCCTGGAGAAGGGAAAGGCTACCCACTCCAGTATTCTGGCCTGGAGAATTCCATGGACTGTATATAGTCCATGGGGTTGCAAAGAGTCAGACATGACTGAGCGACTTTCACTTGGCAATGGATGTGGATGCCTGGTGAACATGGTGGGGAAATAAAATTATTGTTAAGAGTAGAAACCTGGAAATCCCCGGATGTAAGACACTTAGTGGGAGAAGCCAGTGAGGAGACCAAGAATGAGTAGAAAAGTAGGAGAGAGCAGATAGGGTGGCCAGTGCCTAAGGAACAGAGTTTTATGGAGGTGAGGGGGCAAAAGGACGGGCTTTCCTCATGGCTCAGATAGTAAAGAATCTGCTTGCAATGTGGGAGACCCAGGTTCAATCCCTGGGTCAGGAAGATCCCCTGGAGAAGGAACTGGCAACCCACTCCAGTGTCCTTGCCTGGAGAATCCCATGGACAGAGGAACCTGGCAGACTACAGTCCACGGGATCACAAAGAGTTGGGCATGATTAAGCACACACGCATGTTCTTGAGGGGGTTAAGATTGAGCAGGAGGGTCACGTACTGCAGAAAGAGCAGGTAGCATCAAGATGGCAAAGACAGTTATGAAGCCAGCAGTAGTGAGAGTCTTAAACAACTATGCCATCAGTAGAATGGTTAAATACAGTACTATTATTTAATAATAGATATTCTTTAAAAGGGATGAGACCCATAAATGTGACTAATTGGAAAGGTAGATTTTTAAAGTCTAAAAAGCAAATGGTGGAACAGTGAATAACTTGGTGTTAAAAGAAGGCCTCTTGAAAGCAAGGTAATTTGGTGAAAGATAAAGGTAGGCAGTGTGAGGGTTCACCGAGGTTGGAAATAATCAAGGTATTGTGGAGATACTTCCTGCACTCGTGTCATTCTCTCCTGTAGAGCTTGGGATAATTAGATTCACATCAAGTTGTCTATGGGCAACTTGATTCAGAGTGAATTCAAGGTAAGCTGATGGCATCAAGTGTCAGGAGGATAAAGACAACTCAGGAGGAACGGTATACTGGGAAAGTAGAGAGCCCTCAAGAAGGAGCTGCAAAAAGCCAAAGGGAAGTTTCAGTACCAGTGGGGTAATAATATTGGGTTGGCCAAAAAGTTTGTTCAGAGCTGGGGCTGCTGTGGCGGATGGGCTGTGGCCAAGGTGGAGTGGAGGTGAAGTCGTTTGAGCTAAGGTGGGTGAAGTTGCCTCAAGATGGGGTAGCTAGAATGATCATCGGAGTGTGTATTGGAGTATCCAGAAATGAGGTAGTGAAGAGAATTCTGAGTTGGTAGAAACTTGGTGATGAAGATGGCAAGGGGCCTAGATAACTTAAGTGTAAAATGAGTATAGTTTGTGCAAGAGAAGGGAAAATGAAGAGATGGAAACTGCTCTTGGCTGCATATGGCTTTCAGTTGAATTGGGGAAATGGGACATTAGTAGATTATTAACAGTACATGGGATGGCCAAGCCAGAGATGTGGCCCTAGGTTCAGAGACTCTGTTTAGGATAGCTGGTCACCAGTGTCCCCCCACTACCCCTCACCCTACTCCTCCGCTGGTGTCTCTTTGTGACTTCTCTGGGAGAGAAAAGATCTTTATCTGTCTGCCCTTTGGGCATCAGGTTTATAGATATGTTTTACTTTTACAGAACCATTATCAGAAGAACCATAGTTAGTACCTACACATGTGAATTTGGTAGGAAAATAAGGAGAAGAGGAAAATCTAAAATAATTGTGCTTCTGTTGTCTCCCTCCCTATCCGCCCATGGAAACGTGGTGGGAATCAGAGAAATCCATTGGGATCACAACTTTCCTAGGGGTGATGAGTTTCACCTTCTGGGTGTAGAACCTTCCATGGAAGAGGAAGGCATGCAGGACACAAGGTGTTATTTGGCCTGTGCAGTTCTCCCTTCGTTCTCCTGGTGGCAGATCTCCGGGGCCCTTCTCTTCGGACTTTGTTTGGACTCAGGTTTCTCAACATGTGGTTCTGAGGCGTTCGTCACACTGCACCTCCCTCCCTGGTTCTGGGCCTGTGCTAGTGACCCCAGCTGGGCCAGCTCCTGTTTTTGTCTGGGGTTCCCAGAAGCAGAGACTCCCTTCCTCTCCTGCGGTGGATGGGTCGATGTGAACCTGAAATTGGCAGCCGCCATGGTCATGCCTGAAGGAGAGAGTGGGGCCCATGGTCTGGGGCTTAGCAGCAGAGAGGAACCGAGATTAGCCTTTTGTATGTGTTTCCAAACTGTTTTTATCCCCAGGGCAGCCAACTTGAAAAATAAAGCAGGAAATATTCTAAGCAAAAAATTAAGATTTAATGACTTAGAAAGAAGGTCTTCAGTGTATCTTCAAATGGGGAACAGAGGGTCCAGGGGAGTTCTGAGGTTTGGATGTGATGTAAAATGGCTTGGTGAATGTGTTTGTCACTTCCCCAGCTTGGCCGTATTTTGCGTCTTTGAACAGAGAAAGCATTGTTCTGAAAAAACTTAGAGCATATTATCTGTGATACTGAAACTATTTAAAGACTTCTTGTTTTGATTTTTCAAAAAGCAGATGAATAACATAATTATCTGCAGTTCCCAACAGCTTCCATTCCCTCAGGTCTGGGACACATTTACAATGCAATTTTGCATGCACTATTAAGGATAAACCAGTGGTTCCCTCATCTCTAATTGTCTTTTATCTTGACAGTGAAAATGAACTATTTCAGACTCATTTGGAAATAGACTGGTTTGGCTTATAGAATAGTGTTTAGAGAAACACGTTACTTCTACTTTTAAATTTACAGCTTTAACTCGGGCCATGAGACTTTAGCAAATAGGTTTGAGGCACTTCTTTAAATTAATTCAAACGTAATTTTTAAGTAAACTATTGATGTTTCAGTATGTCTTACTGGTTAGCATTTATTGCAGGGTACTGTAGACCAGATTGGAGAAGGCAATGGCAACCCACTCCAGTACTCTGGCCTGGAAAATCCCATGGACGGAGGAGCCTGGTAGGCTGCAGTCCATGGGGTTGCGAAGAGTCGGACATGACTAAGCGACTTCACTTTCACGTTTCTCTTTCATGCATTGGAGAAGGAAATGGCAACCCACTCCAGTGTTCTTGCCTGGAGAATCCCAGGGATGGGGGAGCCTGGTGGGCTGCCGTCTGTGGGGTTGCACAGAGTCGGACATGACTGAAGCGACTTAGCAGCAGCAGCAGCAGCAGTAGACCAGATACTGATGTAAGAGTTTTATATCCATTATCTATCTTATTTAATCCTCAAGTTAGCCATATGAGGTAGGCATTGACTGTTTTATAGAAGAAAACCCTGACCCAGAGAGTTTAACGCCTGAGGTCCCACAGCTAACAAACGCACCACGAGGTGCGTTAGGTTACTAATCCATGCTCTTTGCTGTTACTCCATGCTGCCTTTGAGCTACAGATTTCCAGTACAGTTTTTGTCTCTAGGTTTGTTTGTTGTTTTTTGTTTGGCTGTACTGTGTCTTAGTTGCAGTATGTGGGATCTAGTCCCCTAACTAGAGATCGAACCTGGGCCCCCTGCATTGGGAGCACGGAGTCTTAACTACCAGACCTCTAGGGAAATCTCTATAGGTTTGTTTTATTTGTCATTCTATCATTCTTTTCTTTTTGGGAGGCATCATTTATCATATATTTATATATCATTTATCATATATGGAAATAGAAATGTACTAGGAATCTAAGTACATTATCTGTTCTTTTTATTCTCAAAACAACCCTGTCTTTGGGTTTTTATTGTGTTCTATTTAAAGGAGGGGGAAATGAGTCTCAGATAGAGTTTTCCTCATGTCCATAGTAAGTGTCAGAGCTGAGCCCTAGAACATGGACTAGAGAGTGGTCTCAGATTCAGCTGGGCAGGGGCTACCGCAGGATTTCACGGTGGGAGGACTAACCCCCGGTTCATGCGGCCAGCACTGCACGGGCTCCAGGAGGTGGTGTGTGTGTTCTGGCAGGGGAGCCAGAAGGTGCTGTGTCCCGGGGTGATCTCCCTGGGGCCGGGTGCTGCTCCGGCGCCTCGTCTGGTCTTTATCATGGCCTGCCAGTGAGTCTCCTGGAAGCTCCTCGTGTTCCCTGGTGGTTCCAGGCACTGACCCGCAGTGTGGATAGTGAACAGCTGGCCCTAGGAGGTCTCGGGGTGGAAACCAGCGTTGCTCTGTAAACAGATTCAATTGTGCCCCTAGCCGATTTGCTGGTCAAGGCAGAGCCGTTGTGACGCTCTGCAAATACACAGATGACACATTGTTTGACCGCCCGTCTGCCCTTGGTCAGGTAGGAATTTCCAGAGCCGTCAACAGTGGTGTCCTTTATCACGAGGAGATGGACTGAGGGTTGGGTAGCACGTGGGTGGAGACTGTGTCATGTCTTCAGCGTTTTTGAGCCCCTGCGATATTCCGGGTCAGTGTTCTGAGCGCTGGAATTTCAACAATGCATGAGACAGACAGTCTCTACCAGAAGGAGCTAACGTTCCAGTGTGAGGAGACAAAACACATAAGCACACGTACACGTCACCCCCAGTGGAAATACACGCCGTGAAGGACAGTGAGGCTGGGTAAGAGAGGCACAAAGGTGCGTGGCACGGAACAGGTGCTTTTTCACATAGGTGTCCGGAAGGCCTCGCTGTGGAGGTGATGTTTGAGTGGAGCCTTGAAGGAAGTGAAGGGTAAGCCATGTGGGCTTCCAGGGGAAGAGCATTGTAGGCAAAAAAAAAGCAAGTGTAAAGCTCTTGGGGCAGAAGATGCTTGGGACATTCAAGCATCAGGATGGAGAATGGTGGCTGAAGCAGGTAGACAGCCCCAGGGATGAGTCAGAGGCCCTGAATCCCGCCGCAGGCCATGGTGACAGCTCCGGTTGTACTCTTAGTGAAATGGGAAGCCCTTGAAAAAAATCTGAGCAGAAGCCTGCAGTGATGTACATGAGGTACATTTTTCAAAGGAGGGCTCCAGCTGCCACTTGGGGGTGGAGGATGGGCGGGATGCCGGCACAGTGGAAGCAGGGAGGCAAAGTTGGTAGCCATGGCAATGGTCCTGAAAGAAATGGTGGTGGCAGGGACTGGAAGGGGGGCAGTGGAGATGCTGAGAGGTGTGTGTGCGTGCTCAGTCACTTCAGTCATGTCTGACTCTCTGTGACCCCATGGACTGTAGTCCACCAGGCTCCTCTGTCCGTGGGATTCTCCAGGCAAGAATACTGGAGTGAGTTGCCATGCCCTCCTCCAGGGGATCTTCCTGACCCAGGGATCCAACCCGTCTTATGTCTCCTGCATTGGCAGGTGGCTTCTTTACCTCTAGTGCCACCTGGGAAGTCTGCTGAGAGGTGGTCCTGGTTAAATTCTGAAGGAGCTGATAGGATTCACTGCTGGGTTGCAAGGGGGGCGATGATAGAAAGGGGTCAGTTACAACTCTGCGGGTGTGACCTCAGCAGCTGAGAAGAGTTCCCCTTTACTGAGAGGGAAGGGATTCGTCTGCGGTGGATTTGGTCTGGTCAGTGTTCCAGAGCCTGAAACCAGGATGGGAGTCAGTGGAGTCTGGACCCTAAGTGGCCCTTCCAGAACCTGGTTTTGAGCTCCCGGTGAGGAGGCAGGGGAAAAGCAGGAGGATATCCCAGCATTTGATGAAGTACAGATAGGTTTTAAAACAAAAGAAAACAGATGAGATGAGGGAGCCAGAGGCAGGAAGAGACCGAAGTCTTCTCAAGGAGCAGAGAGCTCTGAGGGATACAAGGAGTTTGGGCGGCCAGATCACACAGAGGTGGGAACAGTCTGCAAGTACTGGGACCTGTCCTGAATTTCTGCGGATGATGTGGAGTTTGGGGTACGGGGGAGAGTGTGTTAGACAGGGAGAGGATGCAGGTGAGAGACAGCAAATGAACAGAACACACAGCTGGGGAGGATCCCAATTTGACTGCGGACCAATCTGAGGACAGGAGGAGATGGTATGGGGAATTGGGCTGGGAAATTAGGATAGGTCTGCATTAGGAGAGACCTTGAAAGCTTACAGCTGAATGGAGAAGTCTGATGGAGGTGTGTGGGAATAACTAGAAAACCCGAGACTGCAGTTCAGCTATGGTTTGGCTTGAGTGCCTTTCTGGATGATCTGAAAGTAAAGGGAACATGGTCTTCATTGGCATTTTCTCGCCTGCCTCTTTACTGTCTTAACCATCAGACTTGCACATCCAGTCCTAAGCAAGAGGGAGGCTTGCTAGCAGTCTGTCCACTATCTGAATACACCAGTTTTCTGGAGCAGTTGGTTCCCAACAGGACTGACTTGTGTTCCCACCACAGCACATCCTTTTGAGGTCTTTACTAAAATGACCCAACCACTCAGAAGTTTGGGTGCACAATAATACCAGGAAAGGTGTGCTTTTAGTAGGTAACCTTTCCAAGGCAGGTGAGGTGATTACAATGTATAATATATATACACACTGTATATATACAATGTAATAGTATATATAATAATATATTATAATAATGTGGAGTGATACTGTCTGTATCAGTAGCCAGACTTCAGAGACAGTGTGGGTTCAGTTCCAGATCACCAAATTAAAGCAAATATCTCAATAATGCAAGTCACAAATTATTACTATTTTGGTTTTCCAGTACATACAAAAGTTAGGTTTACCCTATACTGTGGTCAATTAAGTGTACAATACCATTATGTCTAAAAAAAAAATGTACATACCTTAATTTAAAATGCTTTATTGCCAAAAGTGCTAAGCATCCTCTGACAATGCAAGGTTGCCATAAACCTTCAGTTTGTAAAAAAACAAAAAATACTATCTGCAAAGCCCAATAAAATGCCTATAATTACAAAAATAATGTAACTTATATTCATGATAATATTTATAATGTAAATATACATTGTATCTTTACCTTTGTCCACTCTTACAAACAGTGCTGTCATGTTAGCTGTAGGCTGGGATTTTATCTTGTGATGCCAGAAGTCAGGAATGGAGTTCCCTGTTCACTTCAGTAGGTCCTTCATCAGGAAACAAATTACCTTGCTCCACCTGGCTTCTCATAGGTTGACGGAATACAATTTAATGCCGTATGGATCGTCAGACCTAGTCTCTTGTTTTCAGTGGTATTTGTTTTTACAAAGCATGCTCTTGTTTATTTATGTTTTTAAAAATAAATTTCCACTGAAAAATGTTGTAACCAAAATCAATTGGTTTGCAGATTATGGATGACTGGCCAGGGTATGATTTGAGCTTATTCACGTACCCACAGCACTACTACGGAGACTTGGAATACGTGCTCATCCCTCATGGCATCATTGTGGACAGGTGAGCGCTCTTTGCCGAATCCATTTTGTCTAGTCCTCTCCTGTGTGAATCAAACAGTATGCTCCGGGACCCTATTCCAGAGTCTCTTCTATACAGTGGTGGATAGAATGTTTATAGGACAGATAAATTGGAGTAAAATAAATCTGTGATTTCCTTGGATATTTGTTCAGGGAAAACAGTAAGAAGGCTGTACATACAAAAGATAGTAGTGACTGTAGATAGTAAATTAGTAAAGCCTCAAAATAACAATGTCCTATACAGACTGATAAAAATGAGGGCCGGGAAAGCATTTGTCTCACGTTTTTCACAGACTCTTACCGGGGAGAGTTAAGAGGTGACCTTTATCTTCATTTACCTTCACAGGCCACACCCCTGAAGCCCTGGCTTTTCCTGCAATTTGCATTTATCTCGAATAAGTCCAGTCTCACAAGTTGGCCAGTCTGTGGACAATGATGTTTTCAGGGGTAATGTTTTGGAAATAAGAATATGTGCAGCTTAAAAATAGCAGCATGGAACTGTTTCTCCACTACTGTTTCTGGTTCTTTTGAACCCCTTGACACAGATGTCCTCTGGCTCCTTCCCAGCCACTTGACTCTCGTCTTCTAAGCCCCTAAGTCACCCCCATGTGTTTCTTAGTTTTTAGAGAAAAGAAAGTAACAGAAAGTTAGTCACTCAGTTGTGTCTGACTCTTTGTGACCCTATGGACTGTAGCAGCCTGCCAGGCTCCTCTGTCCATGGAATTCTCCAGGTGAGAATGCTGGAATGGGTAAGCGCCTCTTCCAATTCAGCCTACCACAGGCGTCAGCACTTAAAGGTCTTATCCCTTCAACAAAGCTGCCTTAATGCCCCGACCCTTGCCTTTCCATGGGCTTTTGATTTCTAGCACAAGATCAAGTACTTAAGCCTTCACATTTATATGAAAAGCAAGCTTCCTGTATTTCACACTCAGAAATCGGGGTGGGAGAGTCTCTGAGAAACAAGGGCAAGCTGAAACTCGGGCCTCCCACTCCCCGCTTTCCCTTGAGCCTTTGTACTTCTGCCCCTGTTTTCTTAAACTGTGACTTTCTTCTGAGTTAAAATTTAACTTATGAAATAGATCCTCAGCCAAAGGAAAGTTTGAAAAGCACCGGCTGGTCACTATTCCCAGGATGTTATCTTTCCATCAGTGCCTGTCTGTAAGCAAAAGGAAATGTCATTCTTTCACTGAAATTTCTAAGATTTCCCATTGGTGAAGATCTGCATATTGCGTGTTCTCTCAAACTATAAAATATTATTAAAATAAGATCTAGTTTGGGATTTCTCACGGCCTCAGGTGGCCTTCCATGGAATACAAGTTTTGGTCCTTAAAGGGAAGAAAGGTTCTGAGAGGAAATAAATGTGAAAACTTTGGCATCTCCCAACTTGTCAAACCTCCCAGTTGGCAATTCATATTAAAGATGCAGATTCCTAAATCATTTCATTAGAGAACACCCGATACTTGCTACCGTTCTATTTCACTGGATTGGGAGGTGGATTTCTAAGCCCAGTGATACTCACTGTATGGCATCAAGGAAAACAGTTGCTCAGTAAATTTTTCCTTTTTCAAATGTAGACAAATATGAATGCAAAACTCCTATTATTGATACGGTAGGGGAAAAGTGGTCTCTGCTATTGAATAGAATATTTATCAATTTATTTTTGCACATGCTTGGAAAGAAATTTCTCCCAAATTAATTTGATTCAGTGGCTGCATTGACTCAATATTTTGTTTAGTCCAGCCTCAGCCATTATGATGAATGCATTACACATAAATTATGGTGGAAGGTTAGAAAACAATAAAAATACCTGATTTTGAAAAAGGGGTAAATTCTATAAAATATATTCAGCTTCCTAAGAATCAGTCTACTGGATTTCTCCTACCCAAAAAACAAAGAAAAAGGATACAGATTCTTGCAAAGGAAAGGGGTGGGGTGGGGAAGAAATGTGCTTGACTTTGGTAGTTAAACCAACTTCTCTTGTGCAATGGGCGTCTTTGTACTCGATTTACCTCTTAATAGCTCTCAGAAGTACTTTGTCTTCACATGAGTTTGGGAACCCCCTGGTTTAAACAAATTTTGTCTTTTCTCATCTGAAAATTAATTTATGACTTAAGTTAATTGCATCATGATACAGTACAGGATTGAATCCTGGCAAGGTTACCAGTTGCCTCTACAGGAGGCTTTATGTATAGAAATTCTGATTCGTGGGTCTGGGGTTGGGCCTCAAAAATGCCCATCCCCACCTTTAAAATGAATTTATTGAGATATAATTTACATACAACAAAACTCACCCATTGTAGGTAAATGACTCAGTGATTTTTAGTACTAGGCATTTTTTTAGTACTAGTGATTTTAATACTAGTACTAGATTTAGTACTAGATTTTAGTACTAGTGATTTTTATGGCTAGGCAACAATTACCAGCATCGTTTTACAATATTTTGTTGTCAATCAAAAGTTTGTTGTCAATCTCTGCTCCTACCCACACCATCAGGCAATCACTAATCTAATTTCTTTCTCTCTAAACTTGTGTTTTCTGAGCTTTTAATATAAATTAAATCAATATCTGATTATTGATTCATCGATTGATGAGCACTTAGATTTCTTGTTTTGGCTACTGCGAATAATGCTTCCAGGAACATTTGCATGTAAGTCTTTGTGTGGACACATGTTTTCATTTTCTTGGATGGGTTTTTGGAGAGGAATTCTGAGTTTTATGGTAAGTGTAAGAAACTGCCAATTATTTTCCAAATGGCTACACCATTTTTCGTTCCCACCAGCAACATTTGAAGGTTCCAATTTCTCCACATTGCTGCTGCTGTTGTTGTTTTAGTCGCTCAGTTGTATCTGACTCTTTAAGACCCCATGGACTATAGCCCACCAGGCTCCTCTGTCCATGGAATTCTCCAGGCAAGAATACTGGAGTGGGTTGCCACGCCCTTCTCCCTAGTTTCTCCACATACTTGCCAACATTTCATGTTGTTTGTCCTTTTTAACTCTAACCATTCTAGGTCTTCCGAGGCTCGGTGGTAAAGAATCTGCCTGGCAATGCAGGAGACAGAGGTTTGATCCCTGGATTGAGAAGCTCTCCTGGAGAAGGAAATGGCAACCCACTCCAGTGTTCTTGCCTGGGAAATCCCACGGACAGAGGAGCCTGGCAAGCTACAGTCCATGGGGTTGCCAAAGAGTTGGACACGACCTAGTGACTAAGACAACAAAACAAAAACGTGGATATATAAAAGTGTTTCATCGTGGTTTAAAATTTTCCTAATGATTAGTTTGCTTTCTAGCTGTTCATACTTCTTCTTTGGAGAGGTGCCTATTTAAGTTTTTTGCCAGTTTTGCAGTTGGGTTGTTTGTCTTCTAAATGAGTTGTTAAGAGTTCTTTATATATTCTGGACACAGCCCTTTATCATACATATGCTTTGCAAATATTTCCCACTAGTTTGTGGCTTGTCTTTTCATCATTGGTATATTTTAAGAAGAACGTTGGGTGAAGTATTCTGTAAATGTCAATCAGGTCCAACTATTATATGGTACTGTTCCTTTAACTATATCCTTACTGGTTTTCTGCCTTGTTGGATCTATCATGTACTAAGAGAGGGGTATTGAAGTTTCCAACTACATTAGTGGATCCATCCACTTCTGGTTCTTCAGTTTTTTGACACTGTTGCTAGGTGCGGACACATGAAGGACTGTTATGTTTTCCTGGAGAACTGACCTCTTTTTATGACAGTAATGTCACTCTTTATTCCTGACAATTTCCTTGCTCTGAAGTCTGCTTTGTCTGAAATTGATGTAGCTTTTCCAGGTTTCTGTTGATTATGTTTGCATGGTGCATCTTTCTCCATCCCTTTAATCTGGCTCTTTTATCTGCATCTTTGTGTTTAAGATGAATTTGTTGTGGACAACATCCCTTAGGGTATTTTTTGATCCACTCTGACAGTTTCTGCCCTTAATTGATGTTTTTAGACCATGTGTGCATGCTGTGCATGCTAAGTCTCTTCAGTTGTGTCCGACTCTTTGTGACCTATGGACTATAGCCAGCCAGGCTTCTCTGTCCCTGGGGATTCTCCAGGCAAGAATACTGGAGTGGGTTGCCATGCCTTCCTCTAGGAGATCCTCCTGACACAGGTACCAAACCTGCATCTCTCACATCTCGTGCATTGGCAGGCAGGTTCTTTACCACTAGCACCACCTGGGAAGCCCATTTTTAGACCGTTCACGTTTAAAGTCAGAATTGATATTCTTGGTTTAGTCTCTGCCATATTTGTAACTATTTATTACTCATTGCCCTTGTTGTTTGTTTCTTTTTTTGTCTGCCAGTCTGTGAAGACTGTCTCCCCCAGCGGTGCATAGCTGTTGATGATGTGCAATTTATTTTTCTTGTTTTTCTTTTTAAGTTTTGCTCACCGGGGTTCACACCTGTGTCTGAATAGCCGAGTCTTTGGCCTAATATTGATGAGAGAGTGTTCTCAAGCACCTCGAGATAGTGAGGCTTCCACTCTCTGCTGATGAATGTGGTGGGGTGCCTGGCAAACACATTCATATTTCCAGGCTTTTTTTTCCCTTTTTTAATTAATTTTTATTGGAGTATAGTTGCTTTGCAATATTGTATTAGTTTCTACTGTAGAATAAAGTGAATCAGCTATGTGTGTGTGTGTGTCCCTTCTCTTTTGGATTTCCTTCCCATTTAGGTCACAGAGCCCTGAGTAGAGTTCCCTGAGTTATATAGTAGGTTCTCATTAGTTATCTATTTTATACATAGTATCAATAGTGTATATATGTCCACCCCAGTCTCCCAATTCTTTCCAGCCTTTTCCAGGTCTTCCCTGGATTTTTACTTTCCACAGAGCTTTCTTGTGTCTCTTCTGCACAGGTTTGCAGGCTCCGCCATCCAGGGATGTTTGGGTGGCTTGGGCCCACACTCGTCTCTGCTGTGCAAATGCACAGCTTCCTTAGCTTCCAGTCAGCTCGGGATATATGACGAGTTTGTCATGGTCCCCTCTCCCGTGAGTGTAACCTCTCGGAACTCCCTGTCAAATCCACGTCTGTTCTGTCAGTTAGCTACTCAAACAGGACTGCAGCTTCAGGATGGTGGGGCCCCTGGCCCTCCCTGTTCACGTGCTACCACGCTGGCCACGTTAGCTGACTGTGCTCCTCACCAGGGGAGCAGTGCCCTCCGCCCCAATTGAACTGCCTGGTTGAACATGAGAGCTGACGGGGCCGGGAGAATGGGAGCGTTCTCAGACGAGGATGCCACAGACCTGCTCTGTTTCTGCCTGGTGTTCAGTAGTTTCATGAATAAATGGTCTCAGTTTGGGGCACGCCTTTGGTGGGTCTCCAGAGGGCTGAAATGCTTGTTTTTGACAGTTTCATTCAACTTTCTACTTGCTTTTTGTGAAGAGGATGTGTTGACCTCCTTACTGCAGCATGCCAGAAACAAATGTCCCTTTTTAAAGCTCATGTACATGTTTTGATGATCATATTTTTGAGAAGCCGTGGTTGTCATTTCATGTGTGTGTGTGTATATGCACGTATGTGCATGAATGGAAATTCACTGCAGTTGTGTCTGACTCTGTGGGACCCCATGGACTGTAGCCTACCAGGCTCCTCTGTCCAGGGGATTCTCCAGGCAAAAGTACTGGAGTGGGTTGCCATGCCTTCCTCCAAGGGATCTTTCTGACCCAGGGATTGAACCTGCATCTCTTATGTCTCCTGCATTGGCAGGCGGATTCTTTATCACTGTGCCACCTGGGAAGCCCATGTGCATGTATATACACCCATATAAAAGCATATAAAAATATATTGTATAAAGTATATATTATATACAGAACATATGTGATATAATATTTTATTTTTTCATATCATTCAGTTCATCTGTTTTATTTCTTTAAGACCTGGCTGCTTCGGGTCTTAGTTGTAGCACACAGAATCTTTAGTTGCTGCTTGCAAACTTAGTTCTGCAAGTGGGATCTAGTTCCCTGGCCAGGGATCGAACCTGGGCCCCCTACAAAAGAGTGCAGAGACTTAGGCAGTGGACCACCAAGGGAGTCCCAGTTCATTTATTTTAAATCTAATTCAGTTTGAAGTGGCAGAGGGAATTTTTTTTTAAAAGTATGCACCTTAGAACATGCCTCCATTCAATATTTTAGTGTTGTATGCATATATGGACAATGGACTTACAGATCTAAAACAATGAGAGAAAATATAATGACACTTCCAAATTAGGCGTTGGGTGCCAGCCCAAGGTTGCAGAACTTCAGGAGACACCATTCAGACTGTGATCTGTGGAAATGGTGTCCACTGAGATTGTCTGGGGCACCTTTCACATAGGTAACATGCTATCTTCAGTAAATAAAAGACAAATATTATTCTTTTGATAGTTACCACGGGCTTGACTTTTCCTCTAGTCTCGTCTAACGTGGTCAGGTGGGTGAGTCATTCTCCATTTCCTCTCTCTTTGCTTTAAAGTGAGTGTAATATCACCACATACCATCATAGCCTTGTTAAAGCTAACAGCCAGGCTCTGTAGTGATCAAATGATTGCCTTCATGATCTTTGACATCATGTTTTACACCGTAATCACTTTTTTTGTGACACAGAGGAGAAAAAATGTACCACCGATGATATGGTTATCAGAAATATGTTTTGAACACTCTCTCTTTGTCCAGCGTTAACAGAGCTTCTTTATCTGGAGGCTTTGGTCTCCCAAGACCTTTTCCACTTTTCTCCTGCATAATCAAATATGTAGAGTAGATCATGCAGTTTTTTTTTTTTTTGAAAGAAACAAAAATGCTCAGAAATGGTTATACTTTAATATGTCTTTTAATCCCTTCTTTCAGAATTGAACGGCTGGCTAAGGATATTATGAAAGACATAGGATACTGTGACATTATGGTCCTGTGTGTACTCAAAGGAGGCTACAAGTTCTGTGCAGATCTGGTAGAACACCTAAAGAACATCAGTCGCAATTCTGATAGATGTGTCTCTATGAAGGTTGATTTCATCCGACTAAAAAGTTACAGGGTGAGTTATGATTTACTCCATTTTGATTTTATGATGTTTAGAATGAACAGTGTTATAAAAGCAAAAAACTAATAATGTTATGAAAATGAAGGATGTATTTTAATTTTAATTTGCAAGATACTACAACCTGTCATTCAAATAATGTTCTTGGTGGGGCAGGGAGACCCTCCTATCTATTGCTCATATAGCAAAAGAAGCTTCAGGAATGATTCATGCTTTCTTTTATGGCTATAAAGTTGAGTGGTTATTTCCTGGCGCCTAGTCTCATGAATGACTGTGTGGAGAAAGAGTGTTAAGGAAGTCCAGTGAATACAGATGTATTTCTGCTCTGGATATTGCTCTTGGTCCCGGAGATCTGTGTGAGGGTGTCCCGCCAGCGTTAGTACTTGGGTGACTGCAGTCAGGGCCCAGATATGAAGCACTAAAACCTGTAGGGATAATGAGTTATCAAGAGCAGTGAGACAGAAGACCAGGGAATCTCCAACAGAAGGCTCTTCTACCAGTGTGTGCTGGGTTTTCATGGCCACTCAGTTGTGTCTGACTCTTGGCGACCCGATGGGCTGTAGCCCGCCAGGCTCCTCTGTCCTTGGGATTTCCCAGGCAAGAATACTGGAGTGGGTTGCCAATTCCCTTCTCCGGGGGATCTTCCCGACCCAAGGATCGAACCTGGATCTCCTGCATTGCAGGCAGATTCTTTACCATCTGAGCCACCAGGGAAGCCCAAATCACTAGCTTTGAATTGTGTTTTCATTGCTTTGGGACAAAATAACCACAAACTTAGTGGCTTAAACCAGCACATGTTTATCATCCTACAGTTTCTCTAGGTCAGAACTTCTCTGCTTAGAATCTTCCCAGACCGAAAGCAAGGTGTTAGTTGGGGCTTTGATCACTTCTAGGATTTGGGGTCCTTCTCCAACATCACTGGTCACTAGCAGATTTCAACCCCTGATTCCCTGCCAACTCTAGACTGGATTCACTTTCAGCTCTGAGAGGCTGCCCTGGGGTCCTTGCCTCGTGGATAACAGGCTGTTCATTGCAGGGCAGGAGAACTGCTCCCTTCAGTGGGGCCCTGCTCCTTTCTTTTAAGGACTCCCTTGATTAGGTCAGGTCTACCCAGGATAAACTCTTTTTGATGAACTCAAAGTCAGTTGACTAATCACCTAATTATGAGAGTAAATTCCCATCATATTTACAAGTCTCGCCCACAGGTAAATGGAGGAGATTATACACAAGAGAGTGTGCACGGGGACAGGGGTGGGAGGGCATCTGAGAATTCTGCCTACCCTACCGTTCTCTTTCTTTGACTCAGTTGCCTCAGCTTTCAAGCGGCTAGTAAATTTTTCATTGCTTAAGATACTCTGTATTTTCCTTATGACCTCTCAGGTCAGGATAAAATTGTTTTTTGGTTTTGTTTTGGGGTGTGTGTGTGTGTGTGTGTGTGTGTGTGGTGTGGCCATCTTAACTCTAATTAATTCATTTCATCTCTTGAAAATCTTTTCTGTCTTTAATTGTCTCTCATCCTAGTTTAAGTAGCTGTGCTTCCTTCTTAGAAGATTTTTTCCCCTGCTTACTTGACTCTGATCCTTATTGTAAAATCTTCTAAAATCTTTAAAAAATTAAAGTCAGGTTTATTTGAGCCTAATTTACATGTAATAGAATTTACCTCTGTCACTTTGCTGTTCTATGAGTTTTAACAAATGCATAGTCATGTAAATCACCACAGTCAGGACACAGAACAGCCCTTATCGCAAAAAATGTCCTTGTGTCCCTTGGTAGTTAATCCTTTCCCCAACCCCCAAGCTCTTTCAACCACTGATACAGTCTCTTTCCCTGGAATTCTGCTGTTTTTAGAATGTCATATAATGTAATCAGATACCATGTGGCCTTAGTAAATCTGTAAAGCTTAGCATCTTTCATTTGAAATTCATCGATGTTGTTATATGTCCCAGTAATGCATTTCTTATTGTCAAGTAGGATTTCATTGTATGGATATGCCAGTTTTAAAATCATTCATCAGCTGAAGGATATTTGGTTTGTTTCCTTTCTGGGGTGATTATGAATAAGTCTACTAAGGGGGGTGGCAGAAGATGAGATGGTTAGATGGCATCCCTGACTCAATGGACATGAGTTTGAGCAAACTCTGGGAGATGGTGAAGGACAGGGGAGCCTGGCATCCTGCAGTCTCCGGGGATCACAAAGAGCCAGGCATAGCTTAGCAGCAGCACAACAAAATATCCACATGCAGATTTTTGTATGTACTTATGTCTTTGTTTCTCTTGAGCAGATTTGTCTTGAGATTGCTAGGTTATATGGGGAGTATTTATAAGAAATTACCAAACTGTTTTCCAAAGTGATTGAAAAATTTTGCTCCCCCACCAGGACTATATGAGAGTTCCAGTTGTTCTACACTTTTGGCAACACTTGGTATTGTCAATATTTCTTTATTTTTTCCTTTTTTTGTTTTACCCATTCAGATAGCCAGTAGTATCTCACTGTGGTTTTAATTCGCATTTCCCCAGTGAATAATGATGTTGAGCATCCTTTTATTTGCTTTTTTGTTGTTTATACAGTTTCTTTGATGAAATGTTTGTTCAAATATCTTGCTCATTTAAAAAATTGGGTTGTTTCTTTTTATTGAGTTTTAAGTTTCTTATATATTTTGGTTACCAATCCTTTATTAATATGTTTTTGAATATATTTCCTTTCAGTGGGTTGTTATTTTTGTTTTCATTAGAGTGTTTTTTTTCCAAAGGGTGTAATTTAAAAGTTTTTATAAACTCTATCATTTTTTCTTTTGTAGATCATAATTTTTGTGTATATAAGTAATCTGCTTAAATCTTTGTGTATATGAGTAATCTTTGCTTAATTCAAGGTCATGAAGACTTAGCCTCTATTTTCTTTGAGAAGTTTCCTAGTTTTAGGTTTCTAGGTGTATCCAGATATATAATTCATGTTGTGCATGCATGCTTAGTCACTTTAGTCGTGTCCAACTCTCTGCGACCCTGTGGACCACAGCCAGCCAGGCTCCTCTGCCCATGGGATTCTCCAGGCAAGAATACTGGAGTGGGTTGCCATTAACTTATTAATGTGGTACAGATTAAGATTTAATTTTTTTTCCTTTTTGCAAGTGAATGTCCAATTTTTCCAAGATCATTTGATGAAAAGACTATTCTTTTCCATTGAATTGCCTCTGATCTTTTATTGAAAATCAATTGACTGTATATTTGTGGGTCTATTTCTGAGCACTCTATTGAGTTCAGCTCATCTCTTTGTTTATTCTTTGGTCAATATCACACTGTTTTGATGACTATATCTGCACAGAAGTCTGGAATTCAGAGAGTATGTGTCCTTCAACTTTGTTCTTTTTCATAACTGTTTATGGAAGTTTATCTTTCTATGTAAGTTTAAAAATCATGTTGTTGATGTCTACAGAATAACCTGTAATTGGTGTCCTGTAAAGGAGTGTTGGAGTTACACGTTCCTTCTGGGATGCATGCTCAGAGAATGGTGTGTTAGGGTGATCTGAGAGTGGGGGTTTTGGTGCTATGATGTCAAAAGGTCATCCATCAGATATTTACACTAGACCAGTTTAAGCGTTGGGATCTTGGCTGGTTTGACTTGGGTAAGACTAACTTTCTGCCCCTGAAAGAACAGCTGTACTGTAGCAATCCATACGTCAGAGGTGTTATCTGTAGGGGGTTGCTGAAAGGAGTCTTGTGATATATTGTCTCAGCGATGTGAACCTTGGAGGGTGTGCAGTTTTCAAAACAATTAAAGAGAGCTTAGTCAGGAAAGGCGGTTACAGGATGTTATTTATGAAGCAAGTTATAGTTTAAGGGATCCAACTGATGACTGCCCTTGGTTTCACTATTATATGTGGTAAACTTTTCCTTGAATTTCAATTTCTAATTGTCTGTTGCAGGTACATAGAAATTTAGTGTATTGAACACTTGACTTTTTAAAACTCTTATTAGTTTGAATAGCTCTTTTGTAGATTCTTCTAGGTTTTTCTATGAAGATAATGGTTTTCCTTCTTTTTTTCTAATTTGTGTATTTATTTCTTTTTATTGCTTCGCTGCACTGGCTAGGACTTCCTGTACAATTCTGAATGGAAAGAGTGAAAGAAAACATTCTTACCTTGTTATCAGTCATGTGATATTAACTGTTGCATCCTCAAATTTTTGTTGTATTGTTTTCATTTTCATTCAACTCAAACTATTTTCAAATTTCCTTTGTGACTTCCTCTTTCATTCATGGATTATTTCTTACTGTTTAATTTCCAAATATTTGGGGATTTTCCAGACATAGCTCTGTATGATTTCTAGTGTAATTCTGTTGCAGAAAGAGTACTTTGTATGACTTCAACTCTTTTAAATTTTTTAAGTCTTGTTTTATGGTCCAGAATACGGTCAATCTTGCTGAGACTAATAGCATTATGATCCATGTCAGATTAAACAATGTTACTGCTTTTCACCGTCCATTTCTCTAAACATCCTCTATTTTATCAGTGTTTTAACCTAGAGGCACACATTCTAACACTTCTTATAATGTATCATGTTTGTTTGTTACTAGTTCTGAACAAACACTTATATGTATATAGCTCCAGGAATATTGTGATCATTTTTGCTGCATCTAAACAGATATTTTTGGACTTCCCTGGTGGGCCAGTGGTTAAGACTTCTCTATTACAATGTAGGGGGTGCAGGTTTGATCCCTTTTCAGGGAACTAAGATCCCACATGCTTTGTGGCACAGCCAAAAAAAATTTTTTTAAAGCAATGAACAGATAGTTTCAAATCAACATTATTTTTCCTGGGGATCAGGCTGTGGAGGCTCCAACCCAGGGCTCTGATGAAGGAGGAGGGAGAGAATAGACTTTAAATGTTTACCACCAGCATTGGTTCTCAAACACAGCACATTTTAGTGTTTGCCCCACCTTTAAATCATGTAGGAACCAAGCATAACTGTGGTATCTCTCCTCTTCCCTTCTTACAAAATGTC